TTTGGATATTTTATATTTACCCTTGTATCGCTAAATATAAGGTCAATGTATGCGCCAGGCCTTGTCGATGTAGGTCCATCTGTATTGTGCAATTGTAACCTGTACGGAATGCATTTGTTTTTTAGCCAATTATTTAATTGTATTCCTCTAGAATCATTGTACAAATTGCACCAATTACGGTGCTTGGCATTGAAATCACCACTTACTATAAAAAATTATTTTCATCGGCAAGATTTAATGTTTCAAAAATTTTATTTAATTCATAGATAAAATTGCACGAATTTTTTATTATATACGAAATTTTTATTATATATAACTCATATTCTCAATTCCAAAAATAGTACACATGGTTCAATACATGTGAACTCGTCAAAAATTTCTCTGATAATTGATTTGTATTCAATGTTGTTTTTATACATATGGCAACTCCACCTCCATTATTATGACACCGATCTCGTCTAATCATCTCATAATTATCAAAAATAACATTATTATTTTGTTTTAGCTTTGTCTCGCTTACACATAAAAGGTCAGGTTCATTATTATTGAGAAAGTGGGTAAGAGAAAGTCTTTTGTTGTTGGAGATAAGAGAATTGATATTGATTGATATCAAATTATTTTTAGGTTAGTCATATTGTTGGTTACACGGCATTCCAAGCATACTGTAACAAAAAATAATCTGTTCTGTATGTTTTTTTAATATGTTTTCAATATTATTAAATTCGTATTAAATTTGTATGAATATCTAACAAAATTTTTTTTATATCTAATACATCATTATTATTTAAATCATTGTTAGTGATATTATTACTAAAAAAATTATTTTTATGCTGAGTAGAAGTGTTAGCATTAATTAAGTTGGATTTTATAGTATTAGCAAATGAAACGTTCTTATTAATAAAATTTTGTGTCATATTGTGTTTACTTACAATTTTTTGCTGCATATTTTTAACTATTTTTTGCCGGATTTCAATTTTCTTTTTAAGTACGGGACAGTTCCTGTAAGAAGCGGGATGGCCATAATTTTCGCATAAGATGCAACATAGTTTTTCTCTTGGGTCATTTGGTGTAACTTTGCATTGTCCAATTGGGTGATTATTCCGCATTTTACGCAACGAAATTGCATAGAGCAATTAGCGGCTGAATGTCCAGTTCGTTGGCATCTTAAACATTGTAATATGTCTTGTTTATGTATTTTTTTCCAGTGTACAGCTTGATAATCAATGCCACGTATTTTTTCTATTTCGTTAACCAAACTGCCTGGTGCAGCTTGGACTATATAATGTGGTTTTTTTTTTTTTTTTTTTCCTTATTCACTCCTAGAAGGAGCATAGGGCTAGTGCATGATTTCTCATATCTGCCGTAGTTTTATTTATATTAATTATTTTAGGTTATTAATATTTACTGTTTATTTTTCTTAGTTTTTTTTAATATGGAATATTACGAATATTTGAAAATTACTTGTATAATATTTATTAGTATTGTATATTAAGTTATAATAATATTGAATATAATTTTTATAGTGACCTGACCGGGGTTTGAACCCGAGACCCTTCGGTTAAAGGACCGGTGCCATAACCACTGCACCAATGGTCAGATGTGGTAGCTTAATATAATTTTTTAGGGAATATTTGGTTGTTAAACGAGTAACTTTTTCAAATTTTGTACGTTCATTTTCTCAATTTTTTAACAGATGTAATATTTCTTCAGGGGTAGTACGAGTATATAAATTATTCAGCCCTTTTATTACATACATACGTAATTTTTTTTTCCGGTTTAGGTGTAAAGGTGTAGTGATCAATACCAGCTTATTGAAGTTAATTTCGTGTTTTGTTAAATTCTTCAATATTATATGTGCGCACAGTAGCATGTGTATCATTGTGCTCCTTAACCAGAAAGTATATCATATTTAAATTATTGTTAATAAGATTTTTTAATTTATTGATTTCAGTGTTGAATAAATTTATAGGGGGCATTTTTTTGTTATTTTGTTTTGTTCTGTCTGATGATACCACGTGGGGTGAAATATTTGTTTCGTGTTGAGTTGTTTTTTGTTTTCTTTGTTGCTTTTTGAAGGTTTTTTTAGATTATACGGGTCTAATTTATTGTTTATATTGTCAAGAGTATCCGCATCAGTCATATCATCTTCTGTGTTGGTTAAATCCATTAGTGGTGAAAAGTAATTTTCATTTTCATTAGAATTTTTCTGTTATGTAGATGGCAAGAACTTTTTTAATAATTCTTTTAGCTCCTCATTTTCTTTTTTAAGTTTAATTAATTCTTTTTTGAAGTTATCTTCCGCATTTATTTTGCGTTTCTTTGATATAACACTATCGTCAATTAGATTGCAGAGCTTTTCGCTGATTGTATCTTTTAAAAGAATGCAATCTGTTTTTCTTTTTTTGACGGCATGATTGCTCGAAGGATGCAATCAATATCTGTACACCTGGTCAATATTAATGTACCTCGTTTTTTTTACAATAATAAAAAAAAAAAATTTGGTAAACTTGGAAATTGTCGCTTAGGATATGTCGCTTGATAAATTTTTTTTAGGAACAATTAGAAATAAAATTTTAAGTACATACATAATTATGAATGTACACCTATTTTTTTAAAACTGTGGGTGAACATATAGAATTAAATTTTTCAAATAAGGAAAAGGTTTAAGCATAAACAAAATAATATATGTACATATGTACATATGAATGTATTAGAATTAAGCATTTTAGAGTTTTTCGCTCGAACTATAAATATGAAATTTTAAGTACATACATATATAAATTGTGTATATATATTATTTGAAGCTTGCTGACGAAACATAATATTTAAAGCAATAACAAATGAAGCATTAATATTCAGATGCTAAAAAATATTGGATGTCTTTGATAAAAGCTGACATTTATTTACGTTTCGATTTTTCGAACCAAAAATATGTGAGATCATTATATTTACAAATATTATTTACTTGTCGGTTTGTGTTTCTAGTAATAACGAAAACGTATTGTTAATTTCTTGGTTTGTGTTTCTAAAAATATAAAATATAAAAGAATAACGTGCTTTTGTTATACAAAAACTTTTTCAGAAAATCTTAAAGAAGAGCTATTTCGGGCCTAAAAAGTTCCAATCTCAGATTTTTCTGAAACCCTAGAAGCAAAACCCTATCTAATGCCTTTTGTCCCACGTCTCTAGCCCTTTCAGAAGTACCCGTACTTTATGACGCCTGAGAAGTAGCTATATTATATATATAATAAGAACAAGAAAAAAGTTAAATAAAGAAAAATAAAGAAAAAAGTTTACCTGACAATTTGCAAATTTCGAACATGACCATTTGTATAAAAATTGTATGGTATATGCATTACTTTTTTATTCTAATTCAGTGGATCAATTTTACCATATAACTATATCTTATATATGAAATTTTGTGATTTAGAATATAAATTTGAATATTTTTGTTTTTTGATAAATATATAAATTTGGATGATTTTATTGTACCAGCTAGCTTTATTTTATGCATTCATTTATATAAAATACCTATACAGCGTAATAATGACATGAGAACCATATACGGTATTATTAAATATATTAAATTGACAATGGATTTGTAAATACTATATTGTAACATCCCATAACTGATTGTTGGTGATAAGTGATATGATAACATAATAAATATTATTAGTATTACCTAATTTTATTCGTATACATTCTAGAATCCGATTACATATGTACATAAAGTCTTATTATTACCGTGTTGTCTTATGTGTATGCCGTAACTCCTCGCTTAAAGTGCTTATTGTCAAGGATAATGTCGATTATATGCGACATAACTCAAAATAAGGTTCATACCGAGTTTTCGTAAAAGAAAAATTATCTCTTCAAATTAGGGTTATTTCTAAAAAAAATTACTCAAAAAATATTAGATCTTAAAATAATCTCATTACTTTTTTAGTTATTTACTTTTTTGTAATTATTTTTAAGAGCTTTTGCTATTTTAAGTTTTATATTGTTATTTATTAGGAAAAAAAACATCTATATGTATATTACTTGTGTGTTTTTGAAAAAAAAGTGTAAACTTTAAATATCTCACACAGAGAACGCTTAATGTTAACGGATATTTTGTTTTTTTAAGTTCCCTAATGCTGTGGCGTAGTAGAAAAAAACAGCCACCGCATTTTTACGTTTGAAAAATTTCGAAAGTTTGTACTAAAAGTCTACTTATATTTAAAATTTTAGCTGTATATCCTAAAGGATGTAGAAATTTTGAAACATCTCTACGGACAGAGTGAAACTATTCTAAAGACAACGTGAAACTAATAAGCACTTTTGTGGAAAATTTCTAAAAAAAGCACATAATTGTATTACTATTGTAACTAGAATGAATAAAGTTTATTTACTTACTTACTTACTTACTTACATATACACACATAGATATATCTAAAAAAAAAATAAAAGTAACACATATGCTAAAATCGTTAAAAGGTTTCGTTAAAAGGTTAAAAAATTAATTTAATTTAAAATTACCGTTGAAAATAATGAAATACTCTTTTCTTTCAATTATTTTTTTTTAATTAAGTACATTTAATATGCAATATTTACATTTAATATTTAATCTTGAGATATTTTATACATTGACAAATGCATTTACTAGAAGAGATTACTGAACTTTCACAAATAATATTGCTTCAATATTGAATCTATAAACAAACTGTCCGGGACTCTATGGTATCCCAAACCATGGTGGTAGAATAACTTCACAGGAACTGAAAACAACTAGTGACATTTTATAAATATATAACTCGAAAATAAGGGCCCAGAAAGAAAAATGTCACTAGTTGTTTTTTGTTCATCGGATGTCATTCTAGTACCCTGCTTCGGGAATACAATTGAGTCTCGGACACCCTGTATAACAGGAAAAATATCTATACATTTAAGTTTAGCAAAATATTTTAATTAATTAAATTCAAAATATGTTTATTTTTTATTTATAATACTATGAAACACAGTATAAATGTTGTTCAGTGGAATGAGGATCTCTACGAAAAACAATTAATTGAAAGAACAAAAGATGCATGCGATGGTCCAGTTGATGTAGTTATTGATTTTGGTACAACATCACGTAGTTTACACAGATCAATGCAATGTTTAGAAAAGGGTGGCACTGTATTAATTAATGATGAGGTTGCTGAAAAACTATTACCAAAATTTGCTCGTCTTGCACAAGAAAGTAAAATAATAATAACAGCTGTATCAAATGGTACAATTGAACAATTTCATGAGCTAGTAAAATTAGTTGCTTCCAAGAAGGTAAAAAATTATATTTAAATTTATATTCCATAGTTTATTTTTTGTTTTTTTAAACATTTATGTGTTAGCTTGTCATTTAATTTATTCAGCAATTCTTAATACGAGTATATTATGAAAGTTTTTATTTTTTAAATATTTACATTTAATTCTCATATTGATTTTTATATATTTATGTATTTTGAATATAACGTATTTTATAATACTGATAGGAATTTGTACGGTGACAATTTAGAGTATATAATTAAAACAATAGTTCTAAAACAATAGTTCTAGTAGAATAAAAAAATAAGTTCATGTGCAAGAGTAACTCCAACATGTTCAATATATTTTGATAATAGTAATCTTTAAATACTAATTAATTGAATTATCTAAGGAAATAGCACTTAAAATTCATTTCTTATTGATAATTAACATTATTTTTGGCATTATCCTTACAATTATTTAGAGGCGCGTTCATCTCTAAAATCAATATTTATTTCATTATTAGTTAGCACAAAAATATCATTTCAAAAAATAAAAATTTAACAAAAAAATATGATTATTTCTTTATGATTTTTTTCTAAAATCATAAAGAAATAATTTTGAAAAAAATTTTTTTCAGTTTTTCAACTTCAATATCTTCACTTGTAGATAATTGCAATTAGTTCTAATAAATAAATTTTAATATCATATTGATTTTATATATACTTAAAATTTATTTATTTTTTTTTATTTTTTCTTTTTATTAACAGATTGAGCCCCCACCATATTCTGTGTTTCCATCTGATCAAGCGCCTGAAGTTGTAAGAAAATTATGCGCTTCGGAGATACCAGGACGGGCAATATTACGATTCCATGATATCGAATAAAATATTAAAACATATTTTATAATTATACATACTATTTCATTTAATAAACAAACATATACGCACTCATGTATATAATATTACATATATACATATAAATAATTATATAAGAATGCATTGATTCTTTCATTATTATTTTTATGTTTTCATTTATCAAAAATAATATTGTATTAATTCATTTTTAATATATGTAACATATACATATACGTATGTATATATTTTTAGTCATACAAAAACTAGAACAAGTAAATTTTTTTACCATCAAAAGTATTGAAGAATTATTATTGAAACTTTAAACAAATATTAAAAACAGTCGCAAAACGGATTTTCATGCATATGTAGAAGTAAATGTACCTATTATAAATTTATAAATTATTTACTCCCATTTATAAACTATTTACTTTTTTCACAGGGATTAATTTAAAATAATAATAATAATTAAAGTTTGTTTTTATCAACTTAAACTGTTATTTAGGAAAAGAACTCAAAAATAAAATGAGAATTATTAAATATACATAAATTCAAAGTAATAACCAATTCATAAAACTTAAGTATTCTACGAAAACTTAAACTAGACTTAAAATTTATATTAAAATAGTTAGGAGCATTCTAATATCCAGAGAAAATGATTTTAAATATCTATAATAAAAAGAAAATATTAAGAGACATTCTAATATGCAAAGGAATTCATTTCAGGTATCTGTAATAAAATTTAGTAAAACGGTCTAAAAAGTTGCCATATTTTGATCTTTTGATATTTGAATAAACTGTAGACACCAACTTTTTACACAGTTTTTTTTTTTTTCCTCTAAACTTTGACTTTTCTTCGATTGTCGAATAAATCTTTTTACAAAGTTAGTGTCCATACTTTTTACAGCAGTAAAGAAAAGAGTGAAAATTTCTTTTACATCTCATATCGCCACATAAATTGAACAAAAGTGATTCTCATAAATATTATTGAAAAATGTCACATGACTATCAAATGTTTTTTGAAAACAACTGCTGTTTGAAAACTAACTCTGTCGTTACATGACTTTAATATTCGACTCTTAAAATAAATCACCATTTGATATTGTAATTAAAAGTTGTATTTTTTGTGATGTCCAAGAATTTTCACTATTTATTTATAAAACTTAAATAATCTTTTCTAAATACAAAAAATAATACAAATAAACACTTAGTTTAACTCACTATCAGTATTGTCATCTGATTCTAAAAAATAATTATCGTCACTCGTTTTTGAATGTAATATTTTTAAAATGCAAAGACGACCGAATCTATGCTGCAAAATTTATTGTCACAAAAATAGTTTATAGTTTATAAAATTTCTGGCCTCGATTAGGGCTTTTGATTCTACATTAGAAATTGTTTTTTTGTTTTTATTTGAATACTGATTTTACATTTTTAAATTTTCGTTTTTTAAAGTATGCATTTATTAATTGTCTGTTTCAACTGTACTGCGACTATTTGCGACTGTATTATAAATATAAAGTAATAATTAATAATAATAGTAATATAATAAAGTAATACTACCATGCTTTTTTCATCTATGATATTTTAACAAAACATTGGCTTGAATTTTTTTTAAATCAACTTAAGACATTTTATATAATTAAAATATTATTTTATACTAAAAATTCTTTTAAAATTAGACCAAATATATTTTTAATGTTTTGCTAAAACGCAACTGATGCATGGGTCTTTCTGGGAATGCAGTTCTCTAAAGTTAAAACTGTAAAACATTAAAAGCTTTTTCGTACATGTAACTTTGGAAGTTTTGCAGTTCTAATTTTATGAACTGAATAGTTAAGAATACCATATTTATGTCATAAAAATATAAAGAAAAAGTCGCGTTCATAAAAACCGTTTTTAAATAAATAACGGTGCAACAACGGCATGTGTACTTTTAACTAATAAAAATTTGTTTAATTTTAATTAAGTATTTAAAAAAAATAATTAAAAAAGTAATTCTATTTTACTTTATTAAATAAACTATATACTTTTCAATTTTGATTCTTCCATAACAAAAAATAAAATAAAATAAATAAAAATTTACTTTCATCGAAAACTAAATGTCAAATTAATATTATAAAAAAAAATACATAATAAATCACAATAATGTTAATGTATTGTTGTTTGTATTCCATAATTGCGCTTTATTGTTATATTTAAAATAAGTCAGATTATTTTTTGTAATTGATCCAAAAAAAAAATTGAAAATTTAAATTTTCAATGAATTTTTAATTTCAATTTTAAAATATATTTTTTGAAACTAATTATTTGTGCTTTATGTATTCACAAAAAGAAAAAGGAAAACCTAAAAAAATATCATAACATTGTAAGTGAATTAAAATTTATATTCTCATTTATTTCACAAAAGAAATTATTAAAAAATTTAATATTGTGCTTGAAAAGTTTAGTAAAACCTAAAAAACAAAAAAAAAGAAATTTAATGTCTTGAAAATATAAAACTATTTTGTGTAGAAAAAAAACACTAATTGTCTGTTAGTAATAAATTAGTCTGGGAGTAAAAAAAAAAAACAAAAAAAGCTTACACAGTCACATCTTAAAAAATTATAGCTTAATTTACGTACATGGATAAATTTTTTCAAAACCAAATTCTACCTCAGTTACATTGACGCAAAAACAATATTAAATTCACATATTATGCAAAATATTGAAACATACATGTAGAATCCCCAAAATTTGTTGTCACTGTATAGTGCTATTTAAATTATCAATTTTTTTTTCAAAATTCTGCATATTAGAATAAGGTTGTTTTCTTTCAAAAATACTAATTATTAACTGTTAACTAGAAATTTGAATACTAAGGACATTTTAAACCTTCTTAAATTTTAATTGTATGCCAATCTAAATAAATGTGTGCCAATAAAGGCATAATTTTAAATCTGATCTTTTTCAATTCATGTGAAACTTGTGGAATTTCAAATTTCTTTATTTATTATACGTCATACTCCAAAATTCTTAGTAATTTGTGTGGAATAACGATCAATTTATTGAGTTCATACTCAACCCCCATCGCACCAACTCTCTACTATATATAATCGCTTCTATATTAAGTTCAAAACTTTAGAGGTAGCAAAAATCAAAATCCCTTCGAAAATACAAATAGGGAGTTGTTATCATTATTTTTGTCACTTACGTTATAGTGAACCTATCATTTTTGATGTCTTCATCAAAAAACAAGATGAACTGTCAAAAATAGTTTCCATTGTGAATTGCAATTTTATATGAAGAAAAAATTCGGTGTCGGTTTTTCATTCATTTTTGCTTTCATTCACCGTTTTGCGACAATGGTAATACAGAGTCCATAATATTCTTCCTAGTAATATTCACAGTACATATAGTAAACTCAAGGCAATTGAGGTTTAATTAGGTATCTGGAAAAACTAATGCATTGTAAAAAGTGAACAGTTTTGACACGAAGTGAAGTAAAAGTGACTTCAGAAGTTTCATTTCACGAAATATTCAAATTGTCATTTATTTACAAACCACAAATCTCCGACTTTCATAGTACAACTTTTTATATTATAATTTGTAGTGTAAAAAATTGAAGTTTCGAGTCACGTTTAAGTTAATTTTTATTTATTCTCAATTTGATTTTTCTTTCCTAATAATTTAATGTTCAAAAAAAAAAAAATATCAATGTTTGATAAAAAAAAGATTAACTGTGTTCTTCTTTCTTTTTTTCTGAAAAATAAAAATGGAAAAAAAAAATTAAATAAGAAATCAAAAAAATAAAAAACAATAAAAAAAATTATCTATATTTAAAATATTTAATTATATGTATAAAACGGAAAAATTAACAAAAAATAAGAAAGAAAATAAAAAAAAAATAAAAAATTATTCAATAATTGGAAATTGTATTAAATTTCGTAGTTAATTTAAAAACAAAAAAATTGTTTATTTTTTTTATTAGCCCCTAAGAATTACAACTAAAAAGCTACTTTGTCCACGAGATACATCTACTAATATGACATGAACTCCATTCATAGCCCTGAAATTCGGGAAATTACGAATGTCTATTGTCGATTCGGAACTACTAAGATTCTCCTTCGAATAAAATAAAATCAAGAAAAACCACGCATAACTTAACAAGCAAATTAAAAAGAACGTCCGTTTTTAAATTTTCAAGTTTTGAGTTATTTTTACCGACCGTATTGTGTAAACAATAGGTAGGTTATGTGATGGCAACAAATTGTGCATATCGAGTTTTCGGTGGGAACGTACTTCTCCATAGTGGGGAAGTGTAAATAAACTATTTTTAGCAACCTGTCGGTCTGTCGGTCTGTCGGTCTGTCGGTCTGTCCGTCTGTCGGTCTGTGTGTGCACGCGTGTATCTCAAGTTCGGCTGAACCGATTTTGATGAAATTTTATATGTAAGTTTGTTTCCACCATGGCACGGATCGATCAACTTTTGGTATATATCAGGCCTCGGGAACTGTACTTTTTAGCGGGCCTGTTTTACATTTTTGAACATTTTGAAGAAAGTATTCAACCGATTTACTTGAAATATTATATATAAGCTCAGCTCGACCGTCCGCAAAAATTCGTATGTTTTGGAAGAAATCAGGCATCGGCAACTAGACGTTTACTACGGGCCAAATATACATTTTTGTGTATATAAAGAGAAAAAATCAACCGATTTCATTGAAATTTAATATATGAACTCCTCGTATTAAAACAATGAACATATAAATTTTTTGGAAAGATCAGGGCTCGAAAACGGATTTGCGGGCCGATTTTACATTTTTCACCATTTTGAAGAAAGTATTCAACCGATTTACTTGAAATTTCATATATAAGCTTTACTCGATCATACGCAAAAATTCCTAACTTTTGGAAGAAATCAGACATCAGCAACTGGGCGTTTACTATGGGCCAAATATACATTTTTGTGTATATAAAGAGAAATAACCAACCGATTTCATTGAAATTTAATATATGAATTCCCCGTATTAAAACAATGAACATGTAAATTTTTTGGAAAGATCAGGCATCGGCAACTAGACGTTTACTACGGGCCAAACATACACTTTTGTGTATATAAAGAGAAATAATCAACCGATTTCATTGAAATTTAATATATGAATTCCTCATATTAAAGCAATGAACAAATAACTTTTTTGGAAAGATCAGGGCTCGAGAACTGATTTGCGGGCCGATTTTACATTTTTCACCATATCCACAGAACAAATTGATGGAAGTTCTTGAAATTTGATATTTGAGTTCTGATTGTTACCGAAACTAACTGGCGAGTATTTCAGGGAATTCGGGTAGCACAAAGCGAAACTCTACTAAGAGCCAAATTTACATTTTTCTTAGTATGTTAACTATAAGCTTACTAATGTCCTAAAAATTGGAAAGAAGTATTTAACAGACATTTTTATAATATTTTGTAACATTTTCACTTAACTAGAACAATACACTTTGCGGTCGGTTATGTGCTGACCACATCAGATTTTTTTTTTTAGTTTGAGTTCCCTCTAGCACCGCTACCGGGAATTTATAAAAAATATAAAATTAAAAAATTTTTCAAAAAAGACCATGAGTTCACAAAAAATAAAAAAATTTTTCCACTCCACTTTTGAAGAATAATTTTTTGTATAAAAGTTGTCAAATAGCAACAAAAAATATAAATTTTGTAAATTTTTAAAAAAAATATAAGTTTTATTAAAGAATTGTCAGTTAAAATAAAATACACTCGAAAAACTGAAATTTGTGGTCATTCAAAATTCGCCGTTGTAGCTAAGTTCGTAATTCCTAGAATTCTATGAGTAGAATTTATGATAGGCTTGATAAATTTGAAGTATTTTTATTCGATTCTCGACATTATTCCTGATACGAATCAAAAATGTTTCAAATCAAAAAGATATGTTGTGTTGTGGTATAAAATTCTGCATGTCCAATTTTTAAATAAAAAGCTTAATTTTACAATTTCGACTATTTTTAAGAAGGTAGCATGTTTTCTTGTATTTTTATTTATAATTTTTATCAAATTTATGACAATGTCAACTAATTTATTAAATATGGTAAATTCGCCCAGTAATCAAGCGAATGTATCAGTTTGGTATTTTATTCAGCGAATTCGTCAGATTTGTTTTATGAATTCAACACAAAATCTAACGACTTGAAGTATTATGCGACGAGTACACGAACTTGTCAAAAATACCAACAACTTTTTTCTAATAGTTTGCCAAAACTCTTTGGTCAAAATAGTAAGAATATATTAATAGGAATTTCTTTAAAATTAATAGGAATAGTTTTTTTTTTTGCAAACGTGAATGTTATACTATCTAAATTAAAGATGTGATAGTTCAATATGCTCTGTACCCGACGCTAAAAGCGAGTTGTTTACCTGCAATGTATTTTGCATCAAAAGACTTTATGGGATCTGTTTCAGTGCCCTTGGAGGGCGGTACTCCTCTTTCCTGGCGCAATTTTTTGTGTGTGAAGGATGCATGAACTATCATTCTAAACTGAGCGACTTATTCAAAGAAATTAATGTATCCCTCAATAAGCGCAAAAATTAGTACATCGGACTGGCTGCGAAATGTATAGACATGGTTAGGAGTAATTCGGCATGCTTCAATGAAATGGCCAAGGACTACGAAGCCCTGAAATGTACTTTAAGTAAACTAGTTAGAAAGAAGCAGCCATCGTCCATAGATCTAGAGGAGTTACAAAAAAGACTGGGGTTTTCCCTCAATGATAAACTTCAAAAACTTATGAACTCTAAAAGCATAGGCATGGAATCTCTCAAGGATTCAATCAGTTCTTTTAAGGGCGACTAGAACAAATTATGCGTCGATGTTTGATAAGGATAAGTTCAACCAGACTTATATATGTTTAAACACGAAGGATGCGTGGTGCCAGACTAGCGAACCATGTAGTTATGAGTCTTTTCTGGGATCAACAGTAACTCCATGTCCTGCTATTTTCAAGCAAACATTTGGCAAAGGTGCATCTTTGCAGGATGAATTGACCTGTTCTGACCCTCCTGCAAGTTTCAGGACGCTCGTCGTTGCTGAGGCTAATTGCTCAAATGAAAAATCTTGCTTAGAAAGTCTGATGCAATTACGTAAGACTTTTAAGCAACCAGCTGCTAGGTCTTCCCTCAACCCTTTGCCTCGATGTTCGAACCTACTTTTTCAAAATTCCCAGTGACCACCACAAACTAGCCGCAAGTTGTATAGTTGTAATGACACCAAATACCCAAATTTCATTCAGGGTAAAGCATTCATACCTAACACTCAATTTTCTATATCTATACTCAACACGCACAACCTACCCGATGCTCGCTAATTGAAAACACATCCGCCTACTAACTTTGTAGATCCACTGACTCCTCTGATCGTTCGTATGACCAAAGGTTCATTGAAGATGGCGATAGTACTTATGTACTACCGCGCTTCAGAGATCGGACTGTACATGAGAATGTTGAATTGCATATCTTCATGACGGGGCGGAAAATGTCTACCACGATGATAAAACTAGCTTAGGTGTTAAGCTTTTTATTGCAAGTGAGGGCCATCCCCCTGACTATACTATTTAATATAATTTATTCAATAAATTTCATGACACTTTGAATAAGTTAACGTTGAACATATTTTCAGATATTAACCCATCACCTTTCACCAAAAAATTTTAATTTAAAAATTGCGAAATCGTCAACACAGCAATTTTCGGTGTGAACTACCTTAAAATTTGGTTTACATAAAAATTCGTTGAACGGTCACGTTGCACCTACAACAATTATGCTGATATTGCAAGTAGAGCGATCATTAATAAAAATTAAAATTTTATAAAATTTGATTATTAATATTTGATAATTAGAAGAGATAACTAATAAAATTTTTGTTTGTAAAATTAAACTAAAATATTGTGTTTTTTTATTAAAATAAAATAAAGTAATATTTTCTGATAAAATAATATTATAAAAGAAGTGAAGGTAAAGGACAGAACCCAGGTGGACGCCAGAGAAATTTAATTGGCGCCCGAGCAGCAAACATCTAGGTTGTGAGAAGTGTAAGTGAATAACACTGTGAAAAAAAATCAGAGACAAAACTTGTGAAACAATTTTTTTATTTTATTTATTTAATGTTTAATTCAAACATAATATAAAACAGCTTAAAACTAAAACTTTTACATATATAAGTACATATGCATGTATACAACATATTTAAATATTAAATATTTAAATTACAATAATGCAATAATACAATAATACTTAAACTTTAAAAACTAGACTACCAGAAATTTATAATTAAACAATTAAACGAAAATTATGGCAAGTTAGAACACAAAACCTTTTTTAGTTGTTGCTTTTTTTTTTTTTCCTTCTTCACACCTATAAGGAGTATAGGGCTAGTGCATGATATCTATTTATTTATTTATTTATTTATTTATTCATTAATGCCTCAAGAGAATAATTTCTCATAATTGGCTGCATATAGTACAAAAGTTACAAGTTTAGTTAAATTATACTATTGATTATTATAATCTAATTTTAGGTTGAAAAAAAACAGAAAAAATAAAATTTAAACTTTTTTACAAAACTTAAATGGAATCCAAATTTACAGCGGAAAATTAGAAATTAAGTAGCTTTTTTTTTTGATTACAAATTAGAAAAAAAAAGGAAAGAAAATTTTTCATTAGATACGAGTATACAAAAAAAATAAAAATGAAAAATCAAATGAAATGAAATATGAATAATACACGCAAACTAAATTTACATCGACTCCAAGAATTGCTTTTTCTCCATGAATGAGTTCTGTACTTTCCCGCCAACTGTAGTTA